AAAGGAGCTCCGCTGGGTGATTCCTCACGAACCCGCCAGCCCCGTCTATGTCCTGGGCTTCGAGGCAAACCCCATCAACTCTGCTAGGCTGGGGGACTTCTAATCAAGAGAAGGTGCTGAAACCCTTCCCTGGGTCTCCCGTTCTGCCACAAACTGGGAGCAAAACCTGTCGGAGTCTGCGGGGCTACTGTGGGGTAAAAGAGAGGGGATCAGCTGGGGAATTTGGACCCTGGAGGGCTGACGTCAGGTACCTGCAGTGGGGCAGCCAAGCCCCAGAGCACCTCCCGTCCCCACTGACTCACGGCTTCCCACGCTCGTGGCTCTCCGTGGAGATAAGCCCGGTTTCTGCTGAACTAAGTGCTGCAAAGAGAGAGCGAGTGCTGGGAAGTCCTACAAAGCAGTCCCAGGGCTTCTTGAACACCGTTGGTAACTGCTCGTTAATGGTGTGCGTGCAAGGAGAAGCTGGGGGCCTGGCTGGGAATGGAAGGAGGGAGAGAGGAAAACCACAGAGCCAGAAATCAAACCTGTTGGTGAATATGTGTTGGTGTGTGTAACATGCATTGCCACTTCAGGGGCTTTGGAATAGTGGGCAGGGCTGGCTTTGGTCTTTGTATTTTGCAATGGAACATCTGGTCCTTCCGCTGGTTTGGAGACACAGATGAGCCCAGCTGATCGTTTGGTTCTGCAAAGAGAAGTGAAAAAGCAAAGAAATACCGACAAGTGCAGGACGAACCCCGCTACGATTCTCCCCAGCTGTTTGTCAGCCCTTTGCTGGGCTGGGACGATTAGAAAGCCTGTGACAAATTGCTTACTGAGCTTTCTGGCTTCCTTATTTCTGGGCAGAATTCACTATGCATCAACCTAGATCTGTGTTTACATGTGGGTTTTGGTTTTTTTCTCCCCTCTATAGACAAAATGGCAAGAGCAAACTGCCCAGCTTTTTTGGTACGGAAGGAGGGCGGGAGAGAGAGACGACCACAGACAAAATCCTGCAATATATTCCAGGAAAGGCAAGTACAAACTCATCCAGCTCCCCTCCCCGCTGTTCCCAGAGATTATTCCCACCCACCCCAGGGCCAGCGCAGGGTCCGGACCAGGGGCAGCAGCAGCTGGAGGTCACATCTGCAGCCCGGGAAGGGCTGAGCCCCGTGCCCTTCACAGCGGCAGAGCTAGCTGCTCCGGGGTCCCCGTGCAGGCGTTGGGGGGACCTGCCATCACCCAAAACGAGAGGTGGGGTGGGGGGGTCGTGCTGCGAGCAAAGCAGGCGACGCGGTGGGAGAATTTCGCACACCCCTTCGCTATTGGTTCTTTTGTTTCTGGGTAGCCTGTGAAGGAAGGGAAAATTCGAGCGAGCATTCAAAGGTAGGATGATTCATTCCCACGCTGGAATGAGACGGAGCAGGCAGCGTATTAGCAATGAGCCTCGGGAAGGTAATCAGGAAGGGCAGGTCTGTCCCAGGCACGTATCAGCCTTGTGGCCATATGGCCCATTTCCCAGCGCTGCTCGGTGAAAGCGGAGGTGAAACGATGAACCCCGGTACGTTTACTTGGTCCCTTTGTGTGTGCCAGGGATGTGGACCGAGCTTCGGGGCCTGTTGGGCTGTGCTGCATGTGCATCTCCCCCACTGCGTGACAAATAGGCTATGTGGGTGTGGGGGAAGGGGAAACTGAGGCAGAGACTCACAGCTAGACGGAGGTAACGTCAGAGAAGGTCGGCAGCAGGACATTATCTCCTGGGTTTCAAGCTGCTGCCTCGTTGTGTTTCACTGGTGATGAGGTGCTTGTCCAGAGCTTGGTGTATTGCAGGACCGAGTTCTGAGCAGTGCTGCATCTGCTTTGGGTTCCTGCAGCGATTCAAACATCTGCTCCTCACAAGCAGGGACCCTGCAGTCCCCTTCCCTTCAGCTGCTCCCAGGTTGGCCCTTTCCAGCCCAAAGAACCTTTCCTTTTCCTCATGTGGGCCTGAGAAAGGAGCAGGACTGGGATCCTACTCCTGGCTTGTGAGGTGGCCACGGATGAGTGCCGTCCTCTCTCTTGGGGAACGTGTCCTGACCTGTACAGGTGGGAAGCACAGCGGAACTGGGACTGTTTCGCAGTCCTGCCCGTTATTTGTGAATGAGAGTGATGGGTACGTGGCATGGGCATGGTTCCCCTCGAGACTCAGCTGGCATCCAGCAGGGTTGGACAGTGATGGGCCCAGGTCCTGGACGGATCCTGGATACTTAACCAGGGGAAGCAGGGAGAGCTGTCATGTTAGCGGATCCTGGAAAATGAATCCTGCAAGCTGACAGAGCTGAGGTCAGCGAGAGATTATTCATTTGGGAGCACGAGAGCGTGGGATCTCTTCAGGGAAGGAAGGAGGGTGCAGCAGTTGTTTAGATGTTACCCTTGCCTGGGGCAGATGGGATTCAAACTCCTTGCTCAGCTGCAAGCTTCTTGTGTGGCCTGTAGAGAGCCTTGGCTTAGTCCCTTCCCACTCCCATCTTGCCCCGAGAAACAACCTCTGAGAGCGGAGGTGAGTCAGTGCAGGACTCTCCCGATGCAGTCTCAGACGAGACGGGGTTGCCAAACCTCTGGCCACGGCAGTCAGTTTGGGACGGGGGCAAGTGACACCCCATAAAACCAGGCCCCCTTTGGACCCTGCCGCGGGCAGCTGGCACACAAAGCCAGCGCCTTTTGCTCCCACTTCTGCCACACTTCCCAGTCACAGCTTCTGCGAAGCTTAAATAGAAGTGGGGGAGGAGGATGTGCCAGAAGAGCTTCTCATTTGCTTCTTTTATCATTAAACAGCAGCTTTCGGAGCCCCAGGGCACCAGCCTTGCAAGGCTGAGCTCTTCCTTCTGCCGGCATTAGTGATTCATCTGGGAGTCACTGGGGTCTGCAGGGGCTGAGGCAGATTAATTATTAACTTGCTCTACCTGTAGGATGAGGCATCCCAGACAGGGAGAGAGCGAGAGAACGTGTCAGGGCGCTTGCACTGCCAGAGACCCGCCGCCTCGCCAAACCCTGAGAGAAACCAGGTTTCCAATGGTCCGCACCGCCTCAAAGCCAGCGGGATAGCTGAGCTAACGGGAACGGTGCTACCCGGGATGGGGCCGGGGGAGGAGAGCGCTTGCCACCAGCACAGCCCAGCCAGGGGAGTAAACATCTGGCTGGGGAGGATCTCAGAGGAATGATAAATGCCAGTTCCCTCTCGTTCTGGCTGCTCACTGAGGCATCCCCACGGTTTCGGGGGTAGCGTGGGCCGGGGAGGTAAGCGATGCTCGTGGAGGAGGCTGTGACAGCTCTGGTCTCCCACCCACACAGGACATCACGGGCTTCCCAGTGCCGTTTTTTGGGGGATGGCTGGATGCAGGCCGTGCTGGTGGTTGTAAACCTGTCTCAGAGAGGGGAAGGATGCACTTGTGGGTCTGAGCCCAGAGACATCTGAAATGCAGCAGGAGATATTTGCTCCGGAGCTTGGGTTTAGGCGAGTCCTCCGCGTCCTGGGAACGTGATGTTGTACCTAGACAGATGATCAGGAAGTTTACGGGACGCACTGTTGACCCTACAAAGGGGTTTTGTTGTGAGTAAGAAAGCCTGAGCCAGCTCTAGTCAACCTCCTTCTCCAAGTGGGGGACAAAGAAGCGATAGAAATCGCAGGTGGACAGAAGAGATGAGCTTGTGCCCAGTCCCCCAGGCTCCCTCTGTGGCCAGGGCAGGAAGGTGTCTGATGCCACCTCCGTGCCACCCAGCCTTAAGTGGCCTTGCCGAGACAACCACAGAACTGGAGGTGGCAGCTGTGGCTGGTTCACCTACCCGTGTCACCCACCAGCCTGCTTGGCCGTGCCGTTGCCTGCGCGCTGCCCGGGAACCGGGCTCTGACCCTGCCCAAGTCACAGCTCTTCTGCTCCAGGGACAACGGGGACTGTGGTTGTGACCATCTTGGACAGCGTTAGCATGAAAAGCAGAAGGTGGGCATCACTGCGGCCCCTGGTGCAGAGCAAAGAGGCTGTGCTTGCTCTTACCGGGGACTGGTGCTGGCTGTTGGGTTTAGTGATGTCCAGCTCCCTGCTGCCGCTCTCCTGAGACGTGGGCAGGGACCTGTGGAAAGCGGTGAGGGCAGTTCTTGCACGTACGCGAACGCTGTACGCACCTGGGGTTTAACAGTGGCACCCCAGCGAAGGTTGCTGGAAAAAACCAGGCGAGACCTGCCTGGTGAAAAAAAATTAAAAAATAAAAGAGCTGAACAGTCCCACTTCTTCCTGTGCAACCACGATGCCTGATCATGAGTGATAAGGCTGCTGGGGCTTGAAAGACTGGTGTGGGAGCCCGCAGCTGAACGGGCGGCAGGAGGTGTCAGTGGTGTCATCCCATGTTGTCCATGGCCTTGGAGATGCCCCCATGCTCAGCCGCTAAATCCGGCTGTCCTCCCAGTCTGGCTGCAAACGCTGGTTGGTAGATCCTTGCTTGGGAGAGGGAGGTGTTCCGTTTGATGTGTTTCTTGCCACGGGAAGAGTGGCAGTGGAAGTTCTCCCTTTCCCTCCTGACCCCGGGAGGGTCCCTGCGGAAGCTGGTGGGCAGGCTGAGCTCTTCGCCAAAGCTTACTGCTGGATTCCCAGCTCCCAGGCTGCTTTCACTTCTTGGGGCCTTACTTATTACGGAGGAATCTGGCTGGCACGTTCCAGGCAGCGGCATCCACCG